AGCAAAAAGATATACCTTACCCAACAAACCTTTAGTTATATCACTTACCAATACATTAAATAGAACAGGACCTAGTACAGAGCCTCGGGGTACACAACTAGTGACTGGTCTCTGTTCCAAGTGAACCCCATTTACAACCACACTCTGGTAGCTAGCTGCATACTCCTTTAGCCAGCTGCATATCCACTGAACCACCCAAGGGCTAAGTCCTAGCTTGTACAACTTTTGTATTAGATCATTATGTGGAACTGTATCAAATGCCTTCCTGAAATCAAGATATGCTATGTCCACAACACCACCCTGGTTCAAAACATTGGTAATAAATAAAAAAAAAAATCTAATTAGATTAGTCTGACATGATCTGTCCTGTAAAGCCATGCTGCTTTGGGTCCAAAATGTTGTGTGTTTTTAAGTGATCAATGATCCTTCTTTTCAGGAGTGATTTCATTGCCTTGACTATGACCGATCCTAAACTCACTGGCCTGTAATTGCCAACTTCTTGCTGACCTTCTTGAGGATAGGCACGATATTAGCTGTCCACCAGTCATGGGGAACTTCTCCTGGTAGAAGAGATTGATTAAAAAGATCAGGTAATGGTCCAACACTTATACCTTGAAGTCCTCTTAGAACTCTGGGATGAATACCATCAGGGCCGTTTGCTTTATTCATCTTTAACCCTACCAGTTCCTCTGCTACTTGTCTCCTAAAGTGAACCATCATTACTAGAACCAATATGATTTCCCAACTTATTATTGCTAGTAAAATGTATTTCTAAGAAGACTGAACAAAAGTAATTTCTTAAGTGGTTTGCTGCATCCAGGTCTCCCACAACATACAGTAAGTGTTATGCCCAATTTTCATTTCAGTAATCCCATTGTATTTTTTCTATCACTAATGTACCTAAAAAAGGTTTTATCTCCTTTCTTAATAGATTTAGCAATTTCCTCCTCTTTCTGTGCTTTGGCAGCATTGATAATATGTTTGGCCTCCTTTTGTCTATTCTAATACTCTTCTCTGTCAGCTACACCTCCTGTTTCATTGAATCTCCTATATACTGATGTTTTGTCTTTCACTATCCTACTGATCACTTTAGCGAACCATATTGTTTTTTTTTCTTCCATTTATTCTTACTAACATGCCTGACCCTAAGTTCACACCTAAGCTTTTTCCACAGCATTTTGCAGAAACACTCTACAGTCCATTTAACATGTTTTCCTATGGGACACGTTCACATCTCCGTGTTTTCACCTGGTGTGTTTTTTTGGAAAGTGTCAGGGACTTTTATTACCGCAAAAAGTTGCATTTTTGGTTCTATAGATCAGCCTTTCTCAACCAGGGTGCCTTGAGGTTTCTTCAGGGGTGCCTTGGCAAAATGTCCACAAATTGCCCAAATTTGTATACAAGCCAACGGGTGGAACAAGTCTGCCTTTTAGTTACACAAAGCCACAGGTTTTCATAATGCACCATTACGACCTTCTAGCCTCCGGCGGCCTGACAGCCAATAACATCATCAGTTGATAAGGAGGATGTCATTTGCCTTCACAGCATCCTAGTTTGACCTTCCCCTGCCCCCTCTCCATCAGTGCTGGGGTCACATTAACTCAGTGATGGAGAAAAAGTGAGGGAGAAGAGAAACATTGGGATACTAGTCAGTACCAGTGTGCAGTCAGTACCAGTGTGCAGAAGTGTATTTGTTTTGAAAGAATAAATCACCTCTAATGTTGGGTATCCTACATGTGTGGATGTTGCTGCATTATATAAAACTATTACAATAGTTTTCCACATTTTAGAATGGGATGCCTCAAGACTCTCCATAATTTTAAAGGGTGCCTCGGGACTGTCCATAATTTTAAAGGGTGCCTTGACTGAAAAAAGGTTGAGAAACACTGTTATAGATTTTAATGAAAACGCTGCAGAAAAGCATGTAGTGCGGTTTAAATCTGCCTAGCAACAAGAAAAATAAAAAAAATTTTAAAAACGCATCAAAAACATGGCAAAAACGCAGGTGTAAACACGCAAAACGCAATGCAGAAACCCGTCAAAAGCAAACTGCATAGATGTGAACCTAGCCTGACATATAAGCTAGTTGCCTCCAGGATGGTGGACTTTAACAGTGCTCACTGATTACTTACTCCTGTCTTTTTACTCCAACCTTTCAATTATTTTTTTAAAAATTCACTCATTTCAGCAAAATTCATTATTTTGAAATTTAAAACTTTGGTTTTCATATATGATTTTTCAGTTCTTATTTTAATATCAAAAGTTACTAAAAGTTACTGGCACCCAATTTCCATTTGATCCCACAACAAGCCATGGATTTCATCCAGAGAGTTTAAATGCTAGCCCACCAAGCTACTCGGGGGTCCTGTTCAACCTCCTAGGGGTAAGGGAGTGGTATACATAGAATACTTGTTTTTAGGAATCATTCACGTGACTGGTTAGCCCCCCTCTTCTCCTACAGCTTTGAGGGCTGGGGGGTTAGAGAATGGAAAATATTCTCAAATGCACAAACAGCAACATAATCTTTTCTACGGGGTTCACCAGGTATTTTAAAACTTTAGAGAATATCTTCAAGAATGCAGAAATTGCTCAAAGTCACTAAATGTTTAATTTAAGATTAAACATTTAGTAATTTTGCACTTTGTTTTCAGTGCAGCGTTGCAGATACAGATGGATACACTTTCCATCATCCGTCTTGATACATAAGTATCTAAGGCTTATAGGGTATATAGACAAATTAATATAAGAGCTACTTTAGAAATGCTGTGTTTGTATTAAAAAAAAAAAAAAAAAAATCTGAATTACCCACTCTCATTCTGCAGCTTCCGGCTCTTTCTATATTAATAACAGCTGCTGTACGAATGAGCAATCTAATTTCATTTTACCGCACTGTAGAAATCTCACACACAGACGTGCCCTGCTTTTCGATGTTGTCCTATTATCCCAGCAGGTGGAGTGCTTTGACCTAGGTTGGTAAATTTCAAGACTGGCTAAGCCTAAGGGCCTTTAGCTCAGAGATAATTACAAAAAGCCGCAGTGTCAATTCCAATATATGACACAGGATCGTTGGATGTTACAGCTGTAGCACCCAAGAACACACGCCTGATTTGTAGTTAACCAGGGACATCTGCGTTTCTCAAATGGCTTTGCCTTAAAATAATAAAATTTGTTTTATTTTTACAAAAATAATATATGGCTCCTTCATAGTGATCTTACAGTGTTTAACCAATTCAATACCGGGCAATTTTACCCCTTCCTGCCCAGGCCAGTTTTCAGGTTTCAGCGCTCTCACATTTTGAATGACAATTGCGCGGTCATACAACATTGTACCCAAACTAAAATTTGATCATTTTCTTCACACAACTAGAGGTTCCTTCTGGTGGTATTTAATCACCGCTGGGGTTTTTATTTTTTTCTAAATTAACAAAAAAAGACCAAAAATTTTGAAAAAAAAAACACATTTTTCTTTGTTTCGGTTATAAAAGTTTACAAATAAATAATTGTTCTTCATAAATTTAGGCCGAGATGTATTCTGCTACATGTCTTTGGTGAAAATAACCCAAATTAGGATGTATTTTTTTAGTTTGTAGGAAAGTTATAGAGTTCACAAACTATGGTATAGATCTGAATATTGATCAATCCTGAAGTACTGACAGCCAATCTAATTTCTTGAGGTCCAAGAATGTCAGAACAGTACAGATATCCCCCAAATGACCCCTTTTTGCAAAGTAGACAGTCCGACGTACTTCATAAGAAGCATGGCGAGTTTTTTGAAGTTGTATTATTTTTGTCATAATTTTTCGGAAAATGAAAAAATTAAAAAAATTAGTTTCACTATTTTTTTTTACATATTGTCACCAGTGCAGTACAGCGTCTTCATATAACTGGCATGGCGGTGATCAGGGACACTGACTAGTGACAGTACGAAAAAAAAAAAAGTACATTTTTTTTATTTTTTTTATTCTTTTTTATAATTTTTTTACATTTTTTTTAAGGTTTTTTTTAAATATTTCTCTATGACCAAAGTAGTACAATGTTACCATAGTAACATTGTACTACTTTAGGGAAGTGATCAGTATTTTTTTTTTTTTTTTTTTACACAATTTGCTTATAGCAAAGAATTACTTTGCTATAAGCAAGCATTTACCTGAATGACATCGATTCATTCAGGGTTTTTTTTTGTTTGTGCTTAGCTGTGATTTGACCACAGCTAATCACGACATGTGCATGTGATTAGCTGTGACCATTCACAGCTAGGCAGTAGTATACAATGGATGGCATGAATGAAGCCATCCATTCTATACAACTGTCATGTGACCTGCTGTGATTGGTCACAGCAGGTCACATGGTACCGGCAACAGGGCCGATACTCAGATCTGTCATCGGCCGTGTCCGAGATACACGGCCGGTGACAGATCGCGCCGCTGCGCCGCTCTGCTGGAGCGTAATCTGCGCATGTGTGGGAGGACGCCATATGGCGTCCACCTGGAACGCTGATGACATTTGCCGCCCGCCATTCGGCCATAGGGCGGGCGGCATATGGTTAACCACTTGTTCTCCAGAGGATTTACCCCCCTTCCTGATCTGGCCATTTTGTTGCTTTACAGCGCTGCGTTACTTACATAGTTAGTCTGGCTGAAAAAAGACAAAAGTCCCTCCAGTTCAACCTAAAAAAAAAGTTATAATCCTACACCCACAGTTGATCCAAAGGAAGGAAAAAAAACCCAGCAAAGCATGATCTAATTTGCACCTGCAGGGAAAAAACTCCTTCCTGATCCCCCGAGAGGCAATTGGATATTCCCTGGATCAACTTTACCTAATAATGTTAGTATCCAGTTATATTCTTTGTATCTAAAAAAGAATCCAGGACTTTTTTAAAGCAATCAAAGCATTGACAAAAGAAAAAGTGTTGTGGTCAGGGGCGGAATGACCATTTGGAAACTTGGGCACTGCCCGAGGGCCCGGGGTCAGTAGGGGGCTCCATGAGATGCCCCTGGTACCTTTTTCATAGGCTTTTTTGAGTTTGGGCAAGGACACAGGGGCCCCATGATTCCCTATTGCCTGGGGGCCCCATGAGTTGTCAGTCTACCCCTGGTTGTGGTGCTCAAAAACAGTCCCAACATCTATAAATCCATACAGAAGAAAATACAAAAAAACTCTTCAGAAGATCCAGATGGAGAGAAACATCTTTCTACTGGTGACTGCACCCACAATCCCAGTGCTGTTTATTCTCAAATGAAGTGAATCACCACCGTGAACATGTGTATATAGGTGGACCCTCACCTTCTCACATGGACCTGTGTAAGAACCAGGTCAAAAAGGTATCTCCCCTTCTAGCGGGGGTAACACACAGCTTTCTCCTCTGTGGGTAATCCTACTCTTATATATCACCACTGATCCTCCCGAAACATCTGTTATCAGTATATCTGGCTCATGTTTGCAGTGTGGCTTTCAGCAAAGTCTTCTTGCACTGATCCTTGCTGGACCTGAGTTAAAGATGCTGACAGTTCAGTCATTCAGACAAGTTGAAATTATTTTGTAAAGTAAAATCCGTACAGCAGAATTCAGTGGTCATCTGCATAAATAGTCGTTCAGCTTGTTACCCTGAACTTCTCATCATAGTAGAAACACAAAACTTAGGTAGTGACCAGGGGCGGACTGACAACTCGTGGGGCCCCCGGGCAATAGGGGATCATGGGGCCCCTGTGTCCTTGCCCAAACTCAAAAAAAGTCTATGAAAAAGGTACCAGGGGCATCTCATGGGGCCCTCTACTGACCCCAGACCCTAGGGCAGTGCCCGAGTTTCCAAATGGTCAGTCCGCCCCTGGAAGTGATCAATCTATAACTGCCGCTGCTCAGAAACCCGTTGCCACACTCCCGACACCCTCCAACTATCCCCGACAACAAGACAATTCTGTAAAATATCAGAATTACAGAATTGTCCTGTTGTTGTCGGGGATAGTCTGAAGGTGTCGGAGGAGTGCGGCGGCAAGCTTCAGAGCAGCGTTAAAAATGCCCCTCAGATGCCTGCTTACAAAGCTAGCATGAACTGAGCCTCAATGATATAGGGTCTGGGATTATAAGTACCATTTCAGTCTTTGCAGATGACACCAAGCTGTGCAGTGGAATAATGTCCTTACAGGATGTCTCCAACTTACAAGCCGACCTCAATGCTCTGTGTAATTGGGCAACGATGTGGGAAAGGAGGTTTAATGTTGATAAACGTAAGGTTCTGCACTTGGGGGCTAAGAATATGCATGCATCATACATACTAGGGGGGTACAACTGGGGGAATCCTGGTGGAGAAGGATCTGGGGGTTCTGGTAGATCACAAGCTTAATAATGGCATGCAATGCCAAGCTCCGGGTTCTAAAGCGAGCAAAATCATCTGTTGTATTAAAAGAGGTATAGACTCCAGAGAGAGATATATCATTTACCCCCGGTACAAATCATTAGTAAGACCTCATCTGGAAAATGCAGTTCAATTTTGGCCACCAATTCACGTAAAGAACATTGGGGAACTGGAGAAAATACAGAAAAGGGCAACCAAACTGATAAGAGGCATGGAGGAGCTCAGCTATGAGGAAAGATTAGAGTAACTGAATTTATTCTCTCTTGAGAAGAGGAGATTAATCTCCCTAGCAGTAGGATTATGTCAATATTTCTGTGCTCAAAGCGGTACATTTTTTGCATGGAAATATGTTGTTTTTTTATTGAAGGCCTGTAATTTTTAGGAATAACTCACTGACATCTGTCTGAATAAGAGTCTAGTAAACATCCCGGGTATGATAAAATTTTAAACACAAAATCATAAATTATAATATAATAATCATAAAAAATAATAATATAATAATAATAAATTTAATTCAATAATGTAATCAAACCAAAAACACTGAAATTTGAAATATAGCGCCAAGTTCGCACATCGCTGAGCAAAGTCGCAAAATCGTTTTCAGTGTCTGATGACAAATTTCCCCACGAATCATTATCACTCAATTCTGCAAGTGGTTCTGATTTACTATCGCTGTTCTCTAGCCGGTCTAAAACCGCTTTTGACCTAAAGGGACGCTTTTTGGACGCCATGGACTTTTCTCAGTTTCAAGGCAGAAAGAACAGTAAAAATGTAGGCAGGGCGCAGGACAAAGCACTCGGGACAAAATGTATGTGAAATGGTTTGAAACAGTAATGTTATACTATGTGATTTTAGTGTATTTTGTGAAAGTCACTTTTTAAAATTTTTAAATTTCCCTCCAGTACCAGGCCCGGAAGACGGATGCCGGCATTGGCTGGAGGAGATGGCCGGGGATGCTGCAGGGGACACATCGCGGGAACGCAGCACAAGGTAAGTGAAACTGGGAATCCCTGAGCAACGCTGCAGGGTAATCCCAAGTGTAGCTCAGGGTTACCGCTTTTGGCACTGATAATTAACCCCGAGCTACACCCGGGAATACCGCCAGGGAGGTTAAGGGGGGATATGATCAACATGTATAAATACATAAGGGGGGATATGATCTCCATGTATAAATACATCAGTGGTTCATATAGTGAAGTTGGTGTAGAGTTATTCTTCTGAAGGTCATCACAAAGGACAAGGGGGCACTCTTTACTTCTGGAAGAAAGAGCTTTAATCTCCTGTAATCTCCAAACATGGAAAGGTTTCTTCACAGTGAGAGCTGTGAAAATGTGGAATAGACTCCTTCAAGAGTTGGTTCTGGCCAGTTCAGTAGATTGCTTTAAAAAAAGCCTGGATTCTTTCCTAGATACACAGAATATAACTGGATACTAACATTTATAGATAAAGTTGATCCAGGGAATATCGGATTGCCTCTTGGAGGGATCAGGAAAAATGTTTTTTCCCCTGCGGAAGCAAATTGAATCTTTGAAAAAATTGGCCTGGACTGGAAGGGGGTGAACATGTCCGGACCTGAAAGGGTTACATTTTAATGCGTCTGAAATGGTGAAAAACTACAGTATCCAAAATTGTCCATAAATGATGCTTAAAATCCTTTACAGCTCATTACTTTAAAATTAACAGAGAGTGATGATCCTACAATTGTTTTCCCTTGGCATGTGTGGTGTTATCTAGTCTGTCTAATACATGTGGCATAATTATCGCTTTTGTACACAAGCACACCTAACACACAGTATGAGTTTGTATGTACAAGAGGGTTTAACATTTTTTTAGGGTGTTATTTATCTTTATTAAATGTTAATCTTTAAAACAGGTTTTTTAAAAAATAACTTTATTAATGATAACTCCCCCATGTGATAACATAGTGCAGTAGGAGACAGGTTCTCTTTTAGAAGACCCCCTAATGACACCCCTGCACTCTTTTAGGCTGCATTCACACTTGAGCATTTTGTAGCGTGAAGCTCAAACCTCCAAAAAAGCTCAAACTTAAAAAAAATCTATTCGCTATGGTGCCTGTTCACACAAATGCGTGTGAACAGGCACCATAGAGAACAATTGATTTTTTTAAGTTTTTTGCAGCTTTGAGCTACAAGCTACAAAACGGTCAAGTGTGAATGCAATCTTAAAGCGGAGTTCCACCCAAAAGGGGAAGTTCCACTTGCTTTGTCCCCCACTCCCCATTAAGGATTGGCACCTTTGGGGAGCGGGTACCCGAATTTAACAGGTACCCGTTACCACTTCCGCTGCAATTGCCTAGCCGATCGGAAGCGGAAGTTGTCCTCCCTCCCAGAAGACTACGGGGCCATTCACAAAGTGCAGAGCTTCTCACACATGCGCAGTGGGCACCCGGCTATGAACCGCAAGCTGTCACAGCTGGGTGCCTTCACTGAAGATGCTGGCGCCAGGGAGAGAAGGCGGCTGGTGAAACCAGCGGTGGTGAGGACACTGCTGAACCGAGGGACAGGTAAGTGGCTGTATCGTAAAAGTCAGCAGCTACAGTTTTTGTAGCTGCTGACTTTTTTTTTTCCAACTGGAACTCCGCTTTAAAGCCAATTTAGCACAGATTAGCATTCCATCCTGATGTCCACCATGATGATCCAGGACATATGAGCCCAGAATGCATGGCGGGAAAGCCTTATGTTAGTGGCAGTGAAAGAGTTAAGGGTAAAATATAGCACATTTTTAGTGAGCATATATTTTGAGTTATTGCTGCAGTAATTACATAAAAGTATTTTTTTTATGTGAAAAGGACATTGCATCATAAAAATGGACTTTCTGGCTCTACACCAACCTTGGATTTTTCCATAACTAAAAGTCTTAGACCCAGGGGTGAAAGTGAACAAGATAAAGATTATTCACTGACTCTCACATACAAACTTGATGATCCCCTAAAGATTCTATGTGACTATTTAAACCTTGGTCTAGATGTTCATACCGATTTTCTCTGTATTCTGGTGAATTTTTCTCCTGGTTCTCTTTTATTGTATGTTAATTCCACAAATAAAGAATAATAAAAAAAAAAAGATTATTCACTGACAGATGTCCTTTAAATACTTTATTCATTCTCATAAAAAACAAACAATAAAAGTGAAAACAATCAAAGGTACCTAATAAAAATAAATTGCCCACCCATCATGTTCCCAGAAGTACATATACATAATAGTTTGCATCATTTTAACTTGATCTTATAGTTTAGTAAATATTGGGCACAGTCCTGAATGGATGGATCCTCAGGATCAAAATATATGAGTGGCTGAGCCAGGGGCGGACTGATAACTCATGAGGCCCCCGGGCAATAGGGGATCATGGGGCTCCTGCGTCCTTGCCCACACTCAAAGCACACCCAAAAAAGCCTATAAAAAGGTATCAGGGGCATTTCATGGGGCCCCCTACTGACCCCGGGCCCTCGGGCAGTGCCTGAGTGCTCGAATGGTCAGTCCGCCCCTGGGCTGAGCATAGATTAAAGATCCTCTCATAATCTATTTGGGAGCATCATTCTCCTTTAAATGAAAAACAATCATCAACAACATATAGAATCCAAAATGACAATTAATATTCCAAGATGAATCCAAAAAAAAACCCTGAGCAGTGAATGGTGTATGTGGATATATATGCGGCTGCTAGTGGTGTATTTAGGTTTCATGCTGCCCTAGGCAACACAA